GTATAATTTTTTTTCTCTCTCTCTCTCTCTCTCTTTCTCTTACTATCTGTCACAATTTTTCTGATCCTATAGTTCTCTCTCTTTCCTCTTTTCTGTCTTTTTTTTGCCTTTCTTTTTTCCTTTTTAACAATTTTTCTGTCTGCCTCTCATTTCTGCCAACCTTCTTTTTCTGTCCATCTGTCTCTTTCTCTCTCTCTCTCTCTCTTTCTCTCTCCCTCCATCTCTCGCAATTTTTCCATTTTTCTAGCTCAATCTCTTTTTCTCTCTTTCCTGTCTTTTTTCTGTTTTTTTTCTCCTTTTTAAAAATTTTTCCGTCTGCCACTCTCTCTGTCCATCTCTTTCTCTCTCTCTCTCTTTCATTCAATAAAAAATTTTGTAATTATTCAATTTAAAATAATTGTTTCCGTACAAATAATTTATAAATATTTTTGAATCCGGTAATAAATCAAAAAAAAGAGGAGGAGGGAAATAATTTAAGCATCAAAAAAATTTCGATTATTATTATTCTTATTATTGCTTTTATTATTATTATTATTGCTATTTTTGTCGACAAATTCGAAAAAGGTCAAATCGAAGAATGAAATGAAATGACATAAAAAAAAAAAAAAAATGTCGATGAAAACGCAAAAATAATCGAATGATAAATTTTTTTTTTTTAATTATATATGAATTCACGTGGAAAAAAATTTTTTTAATTAATTTAAATAATAAAATAATTATTAATTAATAAATTATTACGTAATAATTAACGGTAATTAAAAAGATCTAGAAAGAAAAAATAATTAATTAATTTTCGTGCACGATTATAATAGAATTATATGAAATTTTCGATAAGTGATAAAATTATCCCGAGAAGGGAAAGGAGAGGGAGGGGGGGGAATCGTAAGAAAAAAATTTAAGGTAAAATAATAATAATAATAATGATAAATTAATTGTTTTTTTTTTTTGTTTGACAGCAGAAAGTGGAGAAAACGATGACGAAACAGAAGATGGCGACGATACGATTAATTTTAACGTAAAAGATTCCGGTTGTTGTAATAATGAAAAAAAAGATGAAGAAACGGATTCAGTTACCACAAAAATAAAACAATTGTCTCAACAGCAAACAGGAGGAGGAGAAGGAGGAGGGGGAGGTGGAGGTGGAGGACCTGTTTTAGTGCAAAGGTAATATTAAAAAAAAAAAAATCATATTTTCCTATCGTTGTTTAAACAAAAACGTCAAATTTATTACGACAAAAAAATATATAAATAAAATTTTATGTCGCCATTTTGTTTACGAAAAAAAATTTTCTCAAAAAAAAAATAATTTTATTATTATTATTATTATTAATATAATAAAAAATAAATTTTACGATGATATTTTTTGCCACTAATAAAAAAAAACCGTTTGTCCTTGTCTAAAATATAATTTACAACTTTTAAATAAATAATATATATGTAATAAAAAAACCGCGAAATTTAAAATTGAAAAACGTTTTTCCCGCCAAATTTTTAAATATTTAAATTTAATATAAAAAATTAAAAAAAGAAAAAATTTATAATTTGATTTTATTTGTTTTTTGTGTGTGATTATAACAAATCAAAGGAAAAATTTATGAGCGGGTACGGCGATCTATTATTTACTGATATTTTCCTTTGAGAAAATTTTTTTTCCATTGAGTAGTTTTTATCATTATTTTTTTATTTTTTTATTTTTTAATGAAAAATTACAAAAATTTTCCAGGTCGTTTTTAAAATTCATTTCGATAATGATAAAAACAAACGCAAATGGACAAAAACAAAACATTTTCGTTACCAACCTTAGAAAAAAAAAACAAAAAAATGACATTCGTAAATAATAAATAAAAACTGAAAAAATTATTACTCTATGCTTTTTTTTATTTTGACCCCCCCAACAAAAAAAAAGGAATAAAATATATATATTTTTTTTAAATTTCTTCTGATTTATTCCATTTTTGCGGGGGAGAAAAAAAATATTTTCTTTGATATAGAAAAAAAGGAAAAAAAAAAATTAAATCAAAGGAAAATAAAAATAAAAAAAAAATGTTTTTTTATTTTTTTCTTTTCCAGCGACATATCATCCAGTCAAGTAGATTTCTTCAAAATGTTGGATGAAAAAATTGAAAACGTGAGTATTATTATTATCACTATAAATTTTTAATTATTAATTAAAACTAATAGATTAATAAGAGAAAAAAAAATTATTAAATAAATAAAGTCAAAGGAATTAAATGACGTCAGATAATAATGATTCCAATTCGTAAATTAAAAAAAAAAATTTTTTTCTTCTCTCTCTTTGTCTCTCTCTCTCTCTCGAATGAATGAATGAATGAATGAATGGAACGAGTAAATTTTTTTTTTAACACTTTCACGAAATCGGTTAAATTCGTTTCCGGTAAAAATAATAATTTTTTAATGAAAAAGGTTAGTTGTTACTTCCTGTAAAAAAAAATTTTTATTTTTCGCGTAAATTTACTGGAATTAAGGGAAAACTTTTTTTTTCGAATTTCTGCGAAATTTACAAGTATGGAAAGATCTGGAATATAATTATTATTTCGTGTTTAAGTTAAATAACTTTTAATATCTTAAGTGTGTGTGGGGGTGTGCGTTGTGCGTGTGCGTGTTATGAATTAGAGATTTCCAGTGGAAAAACTTTTTTCTTTTTCATCAAATTTAAATAAAATATTTTATAAAAAATTGGATTTTAATTAAAAATTTGTACAAAAAAAAAAATGCTGGAAGCCATTTTTTTTGGAAATTTTAAATTACGATTGTTGTTTGTTGTTGGTTATTAATAATTAAAATTACGTTAATTTATTTATGAACGCGCGCACGTGTAAATATCCGTGATTTAGTGCGATTGCGCGTGGGTGTAGGAAAAGAAAACAAACGAGAGCAAAAGGAAAGGAAAATTATTATTTATTAAATGAGCGGGAGGGAGAGGGGGGAGGTTTTCACTTCGAACAAATCAAATGGAAAGAAAATCCTTAGAGTAATAATAATAATAATAATAAAAGCGGCGATTTTTTCTTTTAAAATATTCAAAAATTTTTGTTTTTTGTTTGTTTCCCACCATTTTGATTTTTTTTTTTTTTATCAAGGGCGTGATACAAAACGAATTATATAGAATGAAATTTTGCGGTTGTTTAAAGTTTTCCCGTCACCTTTTTTTTATCACAAACTTTAACCAAAATCGTACGTGATGTTTTTTAAATAAAATTTTTTTTTTTTTTTTCCAGTTTTACACTATTTTTTTTTTATTTTCCTTTCTGTACGATGGTTTACGATTTTTTAGGAAAAAAAAATATCATGTCCTACACACACACACAAAATACACAAATAAATGTTTATTGGAAATCGGAAAATTAATTTTTTCTCTCATTTTTTAATAGGAAAACATCCGTGACGTGTAATAAAAAAATTGATATTTACAATAAATAAAATTTTTATGAATAATAAAATGGCGTAACAACAATTTTGCGGTGATTTATTATTGAATTTTTACGATGTTTTTTTTTTTTTTTTTTTTGTTGCTAATTTTCTATCAAATTAAAAATTACAAAAAAAAATTTCGGGGAAAATTGTTAACGATTGTAAATAATAATAATAATAACAACAACAACCTTTGACTTTAATTATTTCATTATTATTATTATTTTTGTTTTTTAAAATTATTAAATTTTAAATAAATAAATTTATGTAAATAAATTTTATGCTCAGGGTCCGGATTACGAAGAATCAGACGAAGAAGAACAAAAGGCAAGAATGGTTAATTTATTAGAAGAATGGAAAGCTGCTTGTCAAGCGAGACAACAAAAAAAAATTGACATCGGTTACGATAATGATAATAAATATGGTTCATTGAATCGCGGAGATAAATTATATCAAGATGATTATGACGGTTATTCCGGAAGGAGGATAAACGTTTTAGCCACACAAAAATTTCCAACCGGTTACGCGTCGTGTCCCCCCAACAGTAGTAGTAGTGGTAGTAGTAGCAGTGGTGGTACCATTAACATGCATCTACAAAACACTTTTAGATTTACTTCTCCCGGTTACATGGATCCTACCGTTCGATTTCAACCTAAAATTCCCATCATTGGAAATTATCATTCTTATCAAACGCCACCGGAAACGACGTATAATCATTGCGAAACGGGTCACGGGATTTCGTCAAACGATTTTCCGAATCCATTGCGCACAAATTATGGTCCCGTCTCGTTGAGACAAAGTTCTATAAATTCACAACTTCAACATTATCCAGAGAATCAAAGACTGTACCCTGAAAGTATTAGACAATTCCAAGATTATTCAAAATCTTATCAAGATAGTAGATCTTATACCATGCCGTCACGACCGTTACCCGTAGTTAACGTTCTTCACGAGCACAGATTATATGGCACCGATGTAAATAGTAGGCTACACCAAATGTATCAAGATGATTCTAGAACGAGTGAAGACGTGGTGTCACAAAGAATCATGATGGACATACCTAGGCAATACATTGAATCCCAAAGAACGGATAATATAAGACCCAATTTCGGAGGAGTAGAAAGTGCGAGAACGTTTCACGATTCGTTATTCGCAGAGAAACAAAGGCAGCAATATCCGGATAGCGTGAGACAAATGGATGGACCAAGACCACCACCGAATTCTTTTCAAAGGCCTCCAATTTTAACTCAAAGATCTCTCACGGAACCTTCTAGAATGTATAAAGAATTAGATAATGATGATGGAGGTTTTCAACGTCAGGATCTAAGGTTTACCGAAACGAAAGGAGAGAGTTCGACGTGTCGCATTTATAATCCTAATCATTTAAAAGGTGGAAGATCTCTTAGTGTAGAAGTACAATTTGTGGCTGGACCTCCACCACCGAGAGAAATGATACCCCTTCAGGGTGCTCCTGGTCCTCCTCTTCCTCCTCCTCCTCCTCAAGGATCACCGAGACCATTAATTGCGAGAGGAATTCAATCCAACATGCATCGTTTACCATCAAATTCGATTGTTCATTATAAAAAATCCCAAGGTGCTTTTACTTAATTAGTTTTAGTTTTTTTTAATCAATGTGGTGTGATTTAGAAATTTTTATTTATTTATTTATTTATTTTTATAATAGCCACGACAATCCTAAATAGAAACAAAAAAAGAAAAAAAAATCGTTTTTTTTTTATACGTGTGTAAAAATAATTTTAGATTAATATCCTTTACAAATTTATTTCTTAACAAATAATAATAAAATACAGTATAAACATTTAAAAATTTTAATTCGTTTGAGGTCAAAGGTTAACATTAATAATTTTTTTTAAAAAAATTTTCTCTAAAAACTACAAAAATATCAATTTTAACAGTAAGTAAGTGGGGAGTAAAATTTATCGCCGTTTGTATATAAAAATAAAAGTCATAGAGTAACAACAAAAAAAGCATATTTTTTTTTTTTCTTTGTTAAAGTGGCAAGTGTGAGATTTTAAAATGATATAAATTTCAAATGAAATAAATAAATAAAAAACAAACAAACGTATCACTTCGTGTAAAAAACAAAAAAAAAAAAATTCGCGTTAGTATTTAACGTAGAAAAAATAAATAAAAAAAATAAATAAATAAATAAATTTTATTTTTATTCGTTGTGTTCTCCCTTTTACGACCCCCCCCTCTCAACCACCACCACCACCACCATCAACCCCTATGAGTCAACCATCCCTTTTGCTAAATACATATATATATTTTTCACGAATGTCATTTTCCCAGATCGAATAAATTTTTTTTTTAAAAAGATTAGAAAAAATGTGAGAAGATGGATACCCTTTCTTTTTTTTTTTTAATAACGAAAAAAAAGGCTTTTAAATTAACGTCCGCCATTAAATTTTTTTTCAAATCGTAACAAAACAAAAAAAAATTTTACCATTCTATTCCCACGACACACAAACTCACTTTCTAAATATGGCGCAGAGTTTTAAAAAAAAAAAAAAATTTTTTTTTGGAAAATTAATGTTTACCTTACGTTACTTAAAAAAAAAAAGATTTGAAAAATTCCTTTTAAACCAGTATTATTATTATTATTATTATTATTACTATTATCAGGGTCGATGATGGATGTTGCATTTTGTCAGAAATAAAATTGAAAAATTTATTATTATTATTTTTTTTTTTTTCTTTTAAAGTTAACAAAAATTCAATTTGATACTTTTTTTTATTTTAAGGGGGGAAGGGAGGGAGGGGGGAGGTGGGAATCTCCGACGTTATTAACTGACTACCGCATTTTATGCTTCATTTAATGTAAAAAAAAATTTTAAATTTAGATTCTCCATCCTATTAACATTCCATTTTTATAAATGAATGAATCCGATAATAATAATAACAATTTTTTTTTAATACGTTTTTACCTGAATGATTCAAAAATGAGGAGAATTTCGGTTAAATAATTTTTTTATCCGGTCACACATTCAGTGTAGCCAACTTAAATTTAAAATTATTTTTATTACTCTATGTCGGTTAATTGTTGTCGGTTTTAACGGTGAAGAATAACGATCAATTTTTAATTTTTTTTTTTTCGTGTTATTTTACAAACGTGTTCATTTAATTTTTTTTTTTTATTATTATTGCAATTATTTATCTGCGCCATATTTGTTTTCCTATCGACAAATTATATAAATAATATCGATTTGAAATATAATATTTAAAAATAAATCATTTCGGGCGGCGTCAATGAATTCTTCTTATTCGATTCTTTAATTTTTTCTTCTTCTATGGTTTTAATTGTCACTTATACTTATTTATTTATTTATTTTATTTATTTATGTATCCGTTTAATAATTTTTTTTGTTTTTTAAGTGCCAAGTAGTTTCCTAATAGTGCCTATATATTATACCGTTGGAATGGCTATTACTACCGTACTACTCATTATTTGTATGTTAAAATTGTAAAAAAAAATAAATAAAAGTATTAATAAATAAATAAAATAATTATTAATAATTTTTACTTTATTTTATACTGAACATCAAAATGTGAAAAATAAAACTTCAGTTTCAATGTTTTTTAGTCTTTTTTTTCTCCCCATTTCTGTCACATCCGGGGGTTAAAAAGTTTTTTTTTTTTTTTTTATTTATTGAATAATGCGACGGTGCTGCCATCATGTTTTTAACGTTATAACCAATAGATTAATTATAATTATATATTTATTTATTATATTTATTTTTTTAAAACCGTTTTTTGTTTTATTTTATAAATAAAATTTATTGTTTTTTTTTTTTTCTTTTTGAATTTTTCTAATTTCTTCGCGGTTGATAAATATATACATATGTAAAAAATAATAATTATAAAAAAATTATAGACTTGTTATTTTATTGCATTGGTACGAACTCTATTGGGAAACATTAGAACTTTTTTATTTCAAACTGTTTAAAAATCAATAATTGTTTTTAGTAAAGAGAGCACTCTATCGTTTGTGATTGAAACTAATTATTTTTTTAATAATTCAAAAAATATTTTTATTATTATTATTATATTAAAAAATTTGTAAATAGAGAGAGAAGGAAATAATTTATTTAAATATTTTAAATTGAGAGTCTATAAATAAATAAATAAATTATTTGTTTCCATCAAAAGAAGTGATTGTAATTTAATCCATTGGAAAATATAAATAAATAAATAAATAAATTTCAAAT